GGGCTGCTGCAGGGTGGGGGGAGGCAGGGATGACGCTCCATTGCTCGGCAGAGCCATGGTAATGGCTGTGATGTTGCAGGCCTGGAGCACTGGCAGCGCGAGTGCGTTCAGCTAGAAAGGACAGCGGGAGACTGCAGCGGGAGACATCCCGGGGGTTGCTGCTGGAAGAAAGCTGGTGGCTGCAGAGGGGCCATGGCCACCACCGCCCCTGGCGTGTCACAGCTCTGGGCACAGGGCAAGGACCAGAGCAGGAATGTTTTGCAGCTTGCTGTGTCCCCTGCTGGGCTGCAGACCTGAGAACTGTACCCACTGTTACCTCCATTAAGCGGAAGCAGACTGGCCCCTGGAGGGGACCTGCCTCCCCATGGAGCCCCCCGGGAATGGCAAGCAGCACTCTCCCACTCTGCAGGGCCAGAGCTGCGTGTCTGGGTCTCCTCTTGTCACCCCACAAACAGCATGGATGCGACAGCTCTCTGCTCGGGACCCTGCGTTAGCGTATGTACATGGTGCGGTCAGGGTGACAGGCTGCTGGTGCTGGGCTTCCTGCAGGCACTCTGAGGGGTGAGGGCTGGGAGCTTCTGGCCTCATAGCCACTCCTTTTCCCTCATAATACCAGAGTGCCACCTAAGATCCGGTGCCTTTGCTTGGCAGTAGCTCTCTTGGACTGGTCCCCTTCCACCTCCCAGAGTGACCAGCGTGGGACTGCTGACCCGTGCCTTTTGGGCAAGCTGCCCTGTGCCAAGGCAGCTCGCTCCTGGCTCTCTTGAGGGGCTGGTGCCGCTGCAGCAACTAGAGTCTGGCTGAGGCTTCGGCCACTGCTTTTTACAGCAGGGAAGAGCCATCATAACAAGCTTGAATTATTTTCAGCCAAGCAGAGCTGATGTTGGAGAAAGCTCCTTCCCTGGCCAAAGGGCAGAGCTGACAGCCCGGCTGTTTACCAGCTCTCATGTTACAGGTCTAATTGCGGAGGAGGCAGGTCTGGTGTCAGCCACCCGTTCCAATCAGAATGCACAAAGCCTCCCTGGTAGATGTCACTGCCTGGTTTTGTGCCTTCTGCTTTTCCCTTCTGGCACTAACGAGTTCCCTCGTCATCTCCAGTGTTCCCTGATGGGCCTGAGAGCCCCAGCCAGCACGATCATGTTGAAGTCCCACAGCAGCCGGTGCCTGCCTCTGGGGTGAGGATGGTGTCTTTCCTCGCTGGGGAGGAGCACTGGGGGTTCAGGTGCCCTTCTGCAGGGCACAGTGCCTTGCAGCCTTATGTTTCGTGCTCTCAGGGGAGGACGGTACTTGGCCAATGTGTGCAGTAGACTAGAGAGACCCTAGTCTTCTCCCAGGGGTTTCATCTGCTGCTTTGAGGTGGGCTAGGATGGTCCCAGTATTGATGCCCATCCTTGGAGGTCCTCTGGAAAGCTCTCCTGTGTCATGTTGAGCCCCAAATGGGGCACACTGTCAGCAGCCCTGGAACATGTGCTGCCTTGCCTCTCTACCTGGCATCCTGCATGCAGGCGGGAACAGCCGTGCTCTGACCAGGAGCCACCACGGCTGGTCCCTTCCTGGGCAGGGTGCTTGGGGAAGGTGGAGTGAGAAAGTCAGCAGCTGCATTTTTACAGAGTATTCTTCTAACAACTTGCATCATGACTGTTCAGCGTCAGCTTCGTTTCCATCCTCTAAGTAACTTAGTGTAGTTTGCAGACTTTGTCATCTTGCCACTCGCCCTCTCCCCAAGGTGTTGAGCAGCAGAGGCTCCAGCGTGTGTCCCCAGGGGTCTCTGCCAGAAATGCCCCCAAAGGCTCCCCGCAGGAGGAGCAGGGCTCTAGAGTGGTGTTGCTGGGTGATGGACGCCTCTCCGGAGAGCTCACTGGTGGCAGTGGGCACTGCTGCAGGGCAGACGGAGCATGAGGGGTGCAGGCGAGGTGCTGGGATGGTGGCGGTGGGAAAGCCGTTGGCGTGGCTGGAAAGCTGACTGCGCCTGGGGAGGGGTCTCTCGACCTGATTGCTCACCATTCCTCTAACACAGTGGTAGTGACATTTCACCAGCACGAGCAGCAAGGGGAGCATCTACGATAATTGTGCCTCTTTGCTATCGTTACGATGCAGCAGACATTTTTTCGGCTTAGACAGCGCCAGAGTCTCTGCTGCTGGGGCTGCGTGCAGGATGCTCGCACCTAAGCCTCGTGCTGGGCTCTGTCCAGTCGCTTGCTCCTCTCCCTTTGGTTGGGTTATCCCATGAAAGCACTGCGGTCTGCTTGCCTGAGGGCATTGTCAGGATCAGGCCTTAGCCAGCACTGCTGGCAGCCTCAGCCAGGTGGGAGGACAAGGCTGCAGCCACCAGCCCCACTGCTGTCCTGCGATGTTCCCCATCACCCGCGGCGCTGTGTGAGGCTTGCCCAACATGCACATCACTCCAGGGACTTGCTGCGGTGTGCCCAGGGTGTGCCCAGTGCCACGCTTTCCCTGCACAGCCCCCCACTGTGAAACCCCGCAGCAGCAGCCCTGAAGCCAGTGGAGGTGAGCAGCTGTGGAGCTTGTGGGTTGTAACCCAGCGCTGGGAGCCAGGTCCGACCTCCACACGTGGTGTGGTCCCTGCTTTACAAACCTCGTACTGGATTAGAGGTGAGGGCTTCTGAGGCACGTACACAGCTTATGAGTCGTAATATATGATGCATAGGGATTTTTTTTCCCCCCCACAGTTTTCTAGGTGTTAGCAGGAAGACTATTCAGAATAGAAGAAATCATTTAATTAGGGAATGCGTGAAAACGTAAATGGAGAGGCTGGGAGGAGGTCGGGAGGGGTCCTGGGCTAGGGAGCGGGCATGGGGGGCTGCTGCCAGCCTTTGCACCTTGTCAGGGTGCCCAGCGAGTGGGGAAGGAGAAGAGTGGGCTGACACCGACTCTGGGAATCTCAAGTGAGATTTCTTCTGGAAAGAAAGTAAGCAGCAAGCTCTGATGAGAACAAATTAGAGACTGAGCCGGTAATGGAGGAGATAGCTGGGAGCTCCATCTCAGCCCTGCTGCAGGATGACTCAGTCTTCGGTGGCAGAGCAGGGGTAGGAGCTGGGTTCCTGCCCCCAGGAGGGGTTGAGCTTTTAACACATCTGCAGCTACTGCTCAATAGTGAAGTAAATTGTTGCTTTGATGAGAGGGGCTGACAGTGCTTCCCTCTGCCCCAGCAGCTGGGTGATGCTTCAGGTGAGAGTCTGAGGTAACCCAGAATGGAGCAAGGTTTCAGGTAGCTGCTGATAACTTGTGGGCTCCCCTTGGCTGCTCTGTTGGGACAGATTTCTCTCTCCCAGTGTCCTGCTTATCTAGGGCTAATGTTTTCTGTGTCAGGATACATCTTTTAGTGGGACAGACGCCTGTCCCTCTGCAGCCTGTGTTGGCTGGCTCTGTCTCCTACGATGTATTTCATAACCTCTTTCTTTCTTACAAAAAGGTTATCCTCATTTTCCCCCACCACAAAGTCTTGAACATAGGTGTTTCAGATGCTGGCCTGAGCAATGCTGTCTCTGTAAGGTTCCTGCCATTTTGTCTTATGCTGGGAAGCAGCGGGAGGCACAAACGCTTGCTTGGGAAGCGTGTTCCTGTGCCCCAGGCTGTCAGCTCTATGTGCTTAAAAATATAGGGTTTAAATCCTCTCCTGTACACAAGAACCACACAAGAATTTAATAGAGCTTTATGGGGGGAAGAGGAAGATATTTGAGACCTGGAGCTAGGATGGGGACACGAAAAATCATCTGCACCTGCTGGAATCATCCTCCGATTTGATGGTGGGGCCCGATGGGTGCCTGACAAATGCCGTTGCTTCTGCTTGCTCCTGGCGTGTGCAGTCAGCAATTTGTGTGCCAGGCAGAAAACCTCGCTGCTGGAAGATGGAGTTCAGGCAAGGGGTAGTTACTCTGCCCCTCCATGTGCGAGGGCATCACTGGTTACCAGTAGCACTCACTCAGGATAAGTAACTCATTAATGTTAGCCTTAAGATCTGTATAATATTCCTCTGCAAATAAAGCCTTGCAGGCTGTGTGAGGCTGTTCGTGTGGATCTGAGCTCTGCAAAGCAGTACCTAAATCCCCCAAAGCTGTTGAGCAGGTAAGTGATGCTCTCCTCTGTACAGAGAGACCATAGCGAGCAGCGTGGGACTCTCCCGGGAGGTGATGGCAGATGCGTGGTTGGATGCCAGCTCTCCTGGCCTGGCTGTAACTGGGCACTTGGGAATACTTCAGAGGAGCTCTGTGGAGGGATGGATTAATCCCTGAGCTTAGTGACTGTGGGTTTCCAGGGCTCTGTATAACATGATAGACAAGGATGCGAGCCACACATGGTTTCTGAGAGCCAGGGCATCCACAGCACCCTTCTGAGAGCGGGTGCAGTGGAAGGCAGCAGCGCTGGTGTGCCGTGTCCCTTACAGCCCTCATGTGGCAAAGGCGTCCTGCACCCACACCGGTGATGGTGCATCAGCAGGGAAGCAGGTGGGTTTGGCACAAGTGAAGGTGAGGACAGGAGATGCCTAAGCAGAATAAATTTCCAGAGTGCTATGTTAGAGGAGGAGGGCAAGAATGCTTTGCAGGCACTCGTCCGCTGCCCAATAGCTCTCACTTTGCTGCGAGCCCAAGGAGGGAGGCCAGCTAACACCGGCTGACGTGGGGAGGGGGCTGTCTTTGCAGGGCAGAGGCTGGTGGGCAGCCCAGGCACCAGGCTCCGTGCCGGTGAGCCTTCCCCTGGCGGGACCGGCCATGGCCATGCTCCTCAGCTGCTCTAGGATGCTTCCCTCTCTCTTGCAGGCTCTCCATCAACTGTATTATGACCCAAACATTGAGAACAAGAACTTGGCTCAGAAATGGCTGATGCAGGCGCAGGTGTCCCCCCAGGCGTGGCACTTCAGCTGGCTGCTTCTCAACATGGACAAGGTGCCCGAGATCCAGTACTTTGGTGCCAGCGCTCTCCACATTAAAATCTCCCGTTACTGGAACGACATCCCGGCTGACCAGTACGAGAGCCTCAAGTCGCAGCTCTTCACCCACATCACCCGCTTCGCCAGTGTACTGACCCGGCTGTGCGTGGCGCTGGCCTCCCTGGCCCTCAGCATGATGCCGGAGGCTTGGCCCTGCGCCGTGGCAGACATGGTGCGCATGTTCCAGGCCGAGGACTCCAATGTGGATGGGCAAGCACGGTGCCTGGCGCTGCTGGAGCTGCTGACGGTGCTGCCCGAGGAGTTTCAGACCAGCCGCCTGCCGCAGTACCGCAAGGGCCAGGTACGCAGCGTCCTGGCGCAGGAGTGCGGCTCCGTCTTCCCTTTGCTGGAGCAGCTGCTGCAGCAGCAGGACTCCCCGGGTTTCATCAAGCAGAAGGTGTTGAAGTGCTTCTCCAGCTGGGTGCAGCTGGAGATCCCACTGATGGACTGCGAAAACCTGATCCAGGCCGCTTTCACCTCGCTGCGGGACCCGGAGCTCTTCGACACAGCGGTGGAGGCTGTTGTCAATGCCATTTCCCAGCCCGATGCCCAGAGGTAAGGGCAGCCTCTCCCGTGTGACAATGCTCATGGGAATCAATGGGGGAACGAGGTGGGGAGGAAAAGCCTCAGGATTTTTTCTAGCTACCATTGACCCTGGAAGTGATGATGACAGGGTTTGGAAGTAGGAGATGTAAAAAGCAGGCAGAGGCTCCCGGTTTCACGTGGTCAGTCCTGGAAGGCTTTGCACCATGGTTGACTTGTGGGAGCCATACAGTCTTGGGCAGCAGCCCGTCTCCACCCTCCTCCTCTCCAGCTAAGGAGGATGCTCCCTTCTGGTTCCTCGTGTCAGACCCTGCAGTGCCCGACCAGGAGAGCTGCCCAGCTTTGGCCAGGGGGAGGCCGGAGACCCTCCTCTGCCCCATGCTGCTGGTCCAGCCAAGGAGCTGATTTGATTCAGAGATGGTAAAACCAGACCTGTCAGTCTTATCCTTCCTTCTGGCTCCAACAGCTGGTGGCAGCCAAAGACTTGTCCTTTGTTTGTGGCCACGGCTGCCCCTGGGCAGCTGAGCTGGGAGCAGGGGCTGTGGCAGGTCCTGCCAGGGCTGCGCCGCAGGGCTCCGGGCTTCTCTGCTCAGCTGCTTTGGCTGAGCTGCTGTCAGCTCTTGGGACCGGTGCCTGCAGAAGGGAAAGTACATCTTCTCGGGTTCCATGGCCACATCCCCTCCTGGCTGCTTAGCAACCTTCCCCCCAGGAGGAGGCTTTCCTTGCAGGCTGGGCTGAGCTGCTGCCGCTGTGCGTCCCTGTGCATCGCTGCGCATCGCGCAGGCTCCCACCCTCTGCAGCAGCGTGGATGCTGCTGCCGCTGCAGTTGTGAGCCCTGATCCGACCCTTGGCTTCAGGGCAGGGACAGCCAGTGTGGTCCCTGGCTTGTGGGCAGCCTGGGGCTGGTTGCATCTGGAGACTGCAAGTCCTGGTGCACAAGGGGACGCATCAAGATTTTGATGCATTGCCAAGTGTGGGGAGGGGTTGCCTTGTTTGCTGGCGTTCAGATGACCACAAGCAGCTTTTCCTTGTACCAGGCAAAGGCTGTGGGCTAGCCCAAACCCTTGTAGAAGGATGGGTCCAGAACGCAAGAAGGTGAGAGAAGGTGACTTGCAGTTCTGAAATGTGTCTTCCTCCTTTCTGTTTCCGTTTAGTCTCATAAGTCCCATGGCTATAGCTGGGACTGTAGTGTTGTTCTTCAGTTACGTTAAAAGCCTGCGCTTGCTATTGAGCTTTCAAAGTGGATTTTGGTAAGGAGTGTGGCTGACAGCGGAGTTTCCTCTCTGCTCCCATGCTGACCTTGCCAGGTAGTTTCTGGCTCCATTTGGTCCCACCACGCTGGCTGCTCTCTTACAGTATCGCAAGCACTTGTTCTCCATCCTTCTCTCTGGAGGCATCATCGGCCACGGCAGAGCACCCTACTGTCCGCAGGCATGCGGGCAGTGGCCGGGACGGCGTGGGCAGCTGGCCTGAAAGGCTGTCCAGTGTGTGAGCCTGGCACAGTCCCCACTCCTGGGGTGTGGGGACAGTGGTGGCATTGTCACAGGGCCGCCCTGACAGGCGGCGTATGGTGTCAGCTGCTCCAAGGAGGAGCAGGACTGTGCTCGGTGCTGAGATCCATGATGGCTTCAGAAGCGGGGTAGCACGGGGAGCCGCCACTCCCTGGCCCCAGGTGGGCTCTCTCTTCTCCTTTGTTCCGTGTGTCCTCCATCCCACGTCCCTCCTCCTGCGTCCCCTGGTGCCAGCTGTCCCGCCCCTCCAGCTTTGTTGCCCACTCACAGCGGATCCAGCTCTTCCCTGAGCCCCCATGGAGTCTTCTGACCTTTCTGTCTCTTTTCTTAACAGTGTGGGAGATCCCTGCTGCTTTTCAGCTACTCTCTTCCTCCGCAGTCTCTCGCCTTTGTTTCCACAGGGGCTTGGCTCCCTGCTGCCCTTGGCCGCAAGCTCAGAGCATCCTCGGCGCTGGGCTGCTGACATGGTTCTCGCCAGAGCTTTATAGGGCATCATTCTGTGAGAGAGTTGATTTTGGGGCTCCCCACTTTCCTATGGGTTCCCCTGGGTGTTACAGACCTTGTGTCTTTCCTCCTCACCCCTCCCAGCTGGCTCCATTGCCATTGCTGCAGAGGGTGATCGTGCAGGTCTTCTTGTGCTGTCAGCAGTGGCTCAGTGCCTCATGAGCTTGGCTTCTGCTGCTGAGGGTTAGGTAGCCTGGGGGTCATCTTCCCAGGGGAGCACTGCCTTGCAAGGCATCCCTCACGCTGCAGCTCCTCACTCTGGCTGGCTGTCACCCGTGTCCAGGTGGAGAAGGGCAGGTGGGACCTCATGGGTGAGGATCACCTGGCTGTGGCACTGCTTTGCTCTTGGGTAAGTTGCTTGTGCTGGTGGCTTCCATTTCACTGCCTGTGAGCAGTGGTGGGTGGCTTTCCTGCCTCTGAGGTGTTACTAGAGATGATGCAGCAGAAATTCATAGGTGCAAAGCATTTGATCTCCTTACCTGCAAGGCGGGCAGGAGCCCTTTGCACCCAGAGGAGGGGGTGTCTCGGGTGTTGCTGGAGTCTGTATGCTTTTTTATTCCTGAGTATAAACCTCGGAGGCTTAGCCGGGAGCTTGCAGCTGGAGCACCTCTGTTCACACCTCTGCTCTCGGGGGCAGTGAAGCTCCTGAGTTCCAGGAGGGTGAGAGAATGGAGATTTTGTTGCATCTCATTTGCAGAGGAGGCTTGGGCTGGATTTTCCGTCTCGTTTGAGGATTATCCCCTGGCTAAGCGGGTCAGAGCTCGGCAGTGCATGCTGCAGGGGAGAACTGGCACACGACACTTGGCCACGCTCCTGCAGCCTGACGGATGGTGTCGGAGAGGAGAGAGACCTCCACGTGGTGCATGGCCATGGGGAGTTACGGAGTGTGGGCACTGGGCACTGAGCCACCTCTCTGAAAGCCACAGGTTGTTGCTGTGGTGATGGAGCTGGTGGGATCGCAGGTGCCTGGGTGGGATTGCTTGCTGTCCAGCCCATCCCTTCCTGGTCTTGGCATCTGGTGCTGAATCCCTGAAGAGGAATTGCACTAGAAAACTCTTCCAAGACCTTCATTAGAAACAGGTTTTTACTATGTTGTGTTTTTTTCATCAGGACATGACTCAGATTTTAGATTAGGAATGATGAGATTGTCCTGTGTGAGCTGTCCATATCTCCCCTCTGCAGGTGGTCCCCTGCACCATGGTGTAGTTTGGGAAGGGTTGTGGGCAGAGGAGTGGAGGTGCTGGTCCCACCGAGGGAGCTGTGGATGCTGCAGTTCACTGGGTTTGAGAAAAGACCGGACCGGACAAACCCACAGAAGAAAAATGTGCTCAGCTACTAAATACCAAGATAGCAAATCTTGCTCAGGAAGGCTAACACAAATCGCTGGAGGGAAATACATGGAGAGGGCTGGCAGAGGGCTGGCAGGAGTGGTGTCTGCCTCCTGAGGCAAGTCCTGTGCCTGCTTAGGGCATGGCACCAGCTGGTCACTCAGGGCTGGGAAGCAGCTTGGAGCCCATGGGGTGGCCTGGGGCTCTGTGCTCTCTCTGTTGGCTATGCAGAGCGTCCCAAGGGCCAGCTCAGGTCTAGGCAGATGCACTTCGAGTTTTAAAGGTAACTGGCAGAAGCAATATTCTTGTCATAAAAGTCGTGAAAACATCTCTAGGGTAATGTGAGCCCAGTGCTGCGGAGGAAGGATGGCTTTGCCCTACACTGGAGCAGTGGAAGGTCCCCTGTGCCTTTTTGTCTGGGCACTGCCCCGGCTTCCTGAGGCCAACCCTGACTGCAGCATTGGTTCCCAGGGAGAGAAGCTGCTGAATTCCCAAATTCTCCATCATCACATCACTCCCACACTGCCACGTGCATCACTCATGGGGAATCAGAAGCTTGAAGATGGTTTACACAAAAATACCCAGACCTTTCACCAGGTGATTTCCTCTGGGGGAGAAGGGTGAGGTGGGGGTGACCTCCAGCAGCTCACAGAGGGGCGAGGGGACAGCCACTGGGACCCGAGACACCCTGTTCCCTCTGTCTTCTGGTGGCTCAGACCTAGAAGCTGCCACCATCAGTGTGGGTCTCTCCATGCACTGGTGGCACCAAGGGCTTTGTTCTCTCCTTGGTCAGCCATAGCAAGCGCTGCCAGCA